GCAGTCAAGCGCAGACTGGGATGGGGTGGTGATGGGGCTGCACAGATTCTGGAAACCCCAGCAAGGCTCAGGCCAGCCAGGAGCTGCTTCTGGGTCAGGTGGGCCCCTGATAGGATCCTGGCCTTCCCTAGGAAGGAGGATGAGCACTTACTATGTACCAGGCCCTCTTCTGTGCCTACTTCACCCTGTTAAATCCTCACAACAGTACTGTGATTGGTAGCCACTACTGATAGTCTTCTGTTGAGGAATAGTGAGGAAAGCGAGGTTCCAGTTTACCTGGCTATCAAATGGAACTCCTGGGATAAGAATGCAGGCAGCCATGGCTGTCTTGGGGACCCCTCCCACCCCCTTTCTGGGGGTCTGCCAGGGCTCCCTGACTCGCTGGCTGCTCTGGAGCTCAGCCAGCCCCAGCTGACCCCTTCCCCTCTTCCAGCCTGCTCCCAGTCTGCTCCCTGAGCTAGCCCAGGGGTAGGAGGCTATAACGCATGTGGGGGAGACTGGTATGGCAGGCCCCCCAGTAAACCTTACCCAGCCTCGCCATCCTCAGCTGCTGGGAGTTGTGGGGTGCTGCCAGCAGACAGAGACCTACCCACTTGGGCCGCCAGACACCCCCCACTTGGGGCCCGGTGTCACGCCGCATCATGCCAGAGCTCCCTGTGACCTCATCATGGCTTTGTCCTCCTCGTGGTCTGAAAGGGTTACTCAGGCAGGACCTGGGGAGGTGGAGTCAGACAGGAGCCTTACCCAGGCTCCAGGTCCGCCAGCTGGGTGGGCTGGACTGGGAGGAGGGGGTGGTGTCTCAGGATTTTCCCCAGGGCGGATGGCCATTTTTGGTGTTGGCTGCTCCACTTATAGCCACTCCTCCCAATCCAAGGAGGCTCTGGGTTCAGCGGGGNCTCATGGATGGATGGCTCATGGATGCATGGAGCTGTCCAGCTCTGGAATCAGAAGCCAGGAAGATACCCCAAGGGCGGTCGTTGTATTCCTTCTCTGGGGGTATTGCCTCAAGAAGCAGTGAGACTGGGCAGCCGCTGGGGAGGAAGCCGATCGCAGAGCACGGCCCCGCCCTTGGCTCCTCCCTTCTCCACATGGATTCTCCTGTTGCCATTCTCATTAGGTGAGACACTGATGACCTCGGGTCTCTGGCTGAGCCCTCCCCAGACAAGCCCTGTCTCTCACCAGGGATTTCTGGGACACTTAAGACCTCGGTCCAGAGAAAAGCTGTTGGGGAGGGAGCCAAACAGGTGTGCCCCAGGCTCTGGACCCTCTCTCTTTTGCCTGATTCTGAACTTCCAGCATCCAGCCCCTCAGGCCCGCTCTGGTCTGCCCACTCCTGACTGGAATAAGTCTGTATGAATTAGGCTTCTCAAAGTATTCCTGAGCTAGTCTGAGCTCTTTAGTGCTCAGATGCGGGCAGAGACGGAGGTCTCAAGATCTGCATACTTGCTAGGGGGTGAGTAGGTGCTGTGATAGAATCCAGACTGGCTTCCTTCTTGCCAGACATGCTGGAATTGCCATGGGCCTGTAGCAGAAAGTGGAGTGTGGCTCTGCCCGTCCCTCCATGGAGATTCTGAGTCCCATGAAACATAAGAAACCCTCTGAGTGACCCTGAAAGGACTGGGGCAGGTAGCAGGGGTGATGTGGGACCCACGTGGGCAGCATAGAGAACCTGAATCCCAAGGTCCCAGAACCGCTGCCGGGGCTGAGCTTCCCAGAACCCAGGCTCTGCCGGCAAGCTCGTCTGTGGAAGGGAATGCCGCCTTGGGATACCTGTTCCCAGCACCAGGATGTGCCTAAAGATAGCCAGAGCATAGTTTCCTTCGTGCCCTTTGACCTTTGACATCTGCCCATTGCTGCTGTGTCTGAGGCTCCATAGCAGGTCCCCTGGGCACCCCTAGTGGTTGCTCGAGATTCTATTCCTGCATCTTTCTCAGTTCTGCTTATGACCCTGGGCTACACTGTTCTCAGGAGTCAGGTGGAACCAGTGCAGCCTCCATGTAGCGCTTGTCTCTGAGGAGTGCCATTCCTCTTAGCTAACCTGGGCAGCTGTACCTGGACTTCTTTAGCTGCCGTGGTCCCCAAAGGGCAGATCATGAAGGATGCTCCTTCTCTAAAGGCCATGGTGGGGCAGAGCAGAGGGAGCTGAGGGCCATGCGTGTAAACCAGGGGCACTGGGGCCCTCCCAGGTCTGTGACTCCTGCTGCCATTTGTGTCCTGGGATGCAGGAGTAGGCAGCTGGCCCTGGCCATGAGGTCCTCCCTTCCATCCCCCTTTGCCCAGGCTTGGGCGTGAAGACATGGGCCCCTGCGTCTCCTCACTGTCTACCATGTGTCATCCTTGGAGCTTCTGCTGGGCTCTCCATGTGGCAGGTGCCCCATGGAGGTGAAGTCACTTCCCAGCACATGCCCAGGCCCACATGCCTGCCACACCTGTTCCTCCCCCTGACTCCCAGCCCAGATGGTCTCTGCCAGGCCAGCTCAGCTGCCTCCTTCACTCCTCAGCAGCTCCTAGGACAGGGCCATGCAGGAACCCAGCTGGCCGGGGTGCTTCAAAGCCTGGGAGCAGCTGGGATGCTTGGTGGCACCAGGGGTGGGGCTGGGGGTGGGGTGATTCCTTTAATGGAGACCTAGTACCTCTATTTATACAGATGTAGGGGCAGGTTGCCTGGGGCTCAGAGGACAGGGAGCTGGTAGAGAGGGACCCAGGACAGGAAAGCCCCTCTGGGTCAGCTTTAATCCCATGGTCTCACACAAAGTCCAACTCAGTCCCTTTCCCTCTGGGCATGGAGGAGCTCCTGGTCTCAGGCAGACACTTCTACAGCTACCTGTGGTAGGGGTCAGCCCATGAGGGCTGCAGAAGCCCAGGAAACAAGTGCCAGTCCTGGGAGCTGGGTTCAGTCTGGGTTCTAGAGCACGAGGAACAGACTCCCAGACAGATACATAGAGAAGCACTTTACAGGAAGAGGGAGAACTTCCGGCAGATGGGAGTGGATGCAAAGACTTCATCCAGTGGCCAGTTTTCCCTCAGGCTGGGATAGCCAGCATGTGAGGACTGGGTTAGAGAGGGCTAGGGAATGAATGAGATAAATGAGCAGCAGTGTGTTCATCCGTGAATGGTAGCAACTTATGTCTCACACATCCTTATGAAGGGGGTGATGGCCCCATTTTGCAGATGATACTAAAGCTCAAAAAAGATGATTGACTTTCCCAGACTCACACACAGGAAAGGGTGGCACAACCCATGTGCAATCCCAGGCTCCAGATCTCCTTATAGTACCATCTTGTGTTGCCTTTGTGAGAAAGCACAAAAATTGTCTAGGAGAAGTGGCGTTTGTGTCCTGAAGGCCTGGGGTGAAGCAGCATGGGAGAGTGAGGTTGACTTCATCTGCCAGCAGCTGTCACCAGGACCTCAGCATCATCAAGGACTAGCTGAACGTGTCCCACATTGACCGGGCTTCTGGACACCTGTGGTGAGGCCCGCAAGGGTGTGCAGTGTGGGTGGAGACAGGGAGGGTGGGACTGCAGATGGACCTTGATATACTGGGACTACTGGGAGGAGAAGGGAGGGAACACACCTGGCCGGGAGACCCAGGAGAATGGGGCTGAGAGGTGGAAAGGGCAGGATGCTTATGAGGTTGCTGCCAGGAATCAGTCAAGTACAAATACCTACATGGGCCTTGGCTTGAGGACTTTTATTCTGGGAGGTGGAGAAGCCCAGGAGGACTGGGTTAGAGAGGGCTAGGGAAGTTTTTAAAGCAGGGGCATGGCTGTGATGCGGGAGAGAATGGAGGCAGGAGGACCCACAAGTCTAGTCCCATAGTGTAGAAGGGAGACTGCTGCTCCCCAGGGTGGGCACTGGGAGGCGGGCAACGAAACAGGCCACACCCTGCCCAGAAAGAAGCTGGCGGGGCTGCAAGGCTGTGCTGGAACAGCATGAGGGCAGCAGAGGGAGAGGTGGACTGAGATAGGAGGGCCTAGAGGAGGCTCCTGGGGAGGCCGGGGGTTGGGATCACGTGGAGGGCTCTGCTGAGACCCAGGCCTGCAGTGCTGCTTCTGATGCTGCACTGTCCATGTCCCAGGGCCCTCCTGGAAGAAGAGTGCTGTGCGCTGGAGAGGGAGATGCCCATCCTGCAGGTGAGCTGCGGTCCTGGTCCACCCCGCCCCAGCCCTGCTGCTGAGCGTAGACACCCCTGTCTCTCACCCAGGGCATGAGGTCCACACGCGTGTGTGTCTGTGTGTCTGTGCCTTCAGAGGCTGTGTGAACCCTGGGTCCGTTTCTCCTGTGTGCACACTTCTCATGTGTGTGATCCATAAGTACGTGAACCCATATTCCAGTTGAGTCCCTAAGCCCGAGGTCAGCACTTTTAGATCAACTGCTGGGTCTGCCTAGGTCTTTTACCTCCTTCTCTTCCCCAAGTCTGGGTTCAGGCCTGCCACCCCCTTGCCAAGCTCAGCTTTTCAGGGAGAGGCTGGTGTTCCTCTCAGGAGTGCCCCCAGGTGGTTGAGAGGAAGACTGCACATGCTGGTTCCTGCACCCGGCCATGGGCATCCTGGCCTGGGCACCCTGCCCCGCCCCTGCCGTAAATCTAGGCACTGAGCCAGCTCTCCCTGCAACGCTGTCTGGAAGACGAGTATTCAGGGGNACTTCTGATCTAGTCTAGGATGAGCCCTCCCCAGGAGTCCACTGCTGTCTGTCTGTCTGTCTGGCCCTCACCCTACCTTCTCAGCAGGTCCTCAGTGTCCGGTCCTGACTGTCACAGCCTCTGGCCTTTCTCCTCCCAGGCATCCCCCCAAAGGCCTGGCAGGAGGAGGTCTTGTCCCAGCCCTGACTCATGTCCCGCTGGAGGACCCAGACAAAGCAGAGCAGTAGCTCCGAGACAGGAATAGAAATTTCATTAAAATCTATGGACTTTAAAAACCTAGTGGTATGTTGTCATGTTCTTACAGACCGGGACCTGGGGACTGGAGTCGATGAGAAGAGGGACGCAGGGGACCCAAGTCTCGAGTAAAACAAGGGTGGTTTATTTGCAGAAACGCATGTTTTTATATCTTCATACAAGGCAGATTTAGGCAGTAAAGCAAATTGAACAAAAACAAAGCCAAGCAAATAACAATCTTCAAAGGGCCAGAAAGCATTCCATAGCCTGAGTAAGAGGGGCATAACTGAATAGATTACATTTAAGGTCATGTCACTGAAGGGAGTCACTGTAAGGAATCCAAGCAGGTGCCCTCTCTCATGATCTCAGTCCTTAGAACTGTGTGCAGCTCTGCTCATTCCTGTTTTCCAGGAACTGATAAGCAGTAGAGAATCCTTGAGAAATGGCACACAAAAGAAAATAATAATATATTGATCCCTTAAAGCTGAACGTCCTCTGACAATATGCAGACGGTTGGGGGTGGGAGGCACACCGTTATTGCTACAGAGGATTAGAGGCTGCTCTTCCGGGGCTGTCATTGCATAGAGGGGCATGGAGGACGGACACACGGACACTGCAAGGCTTGGGGGAAGGAGTTTTGGCTCCAGAGAGGGGTTGGGGCACACAGGCTGGGGCAACTTGGCACATGAACAAGGGTAGCCCAGTTCGGGAAGACTGGACTTTAGCCTGGCAGTGGAAGGGCAAGGGAGGGTTGTGTAGGGGTCACTTACCTGGGGCTCTGGGCTCAAACCTCCTGCTGAGCATCACCCCATCTCTACCCCCAGAAACGAGTTCTTTGGGTGGGCTGTTGGGTCATGGGCCTCTGCCAGGGTGGCCCTGACAGCCAGTGCTGGAAGGAGGGGCAGGGACCTCAGAGCTGCCGAGGGACTTGCAGGTGGGCCTGGAAGACAGATTGGGCCCAAGGCCAAGGGCGAGGGGGTAGCAACCACAGATAATACAATTTTTACAAAACTAATCACACAGACAAAAGGGCCGGGCTGCACAGTCTGACCCATAGCACTGTACAGCACCCCGGCCCCTCACTGTGCCTCCAGGTAGGAAGATCTGAATTAGGCTGGGCGGAGGCTGGGGTCAACCCCAAGTGTGGGGACGCTGGTCAGGAGGCTGAAGGCTCAGGGACAGGTAGGGGCCAGCCCAGAACCTCAGCTCAGGGCAAAGTGTGGCAGCCTCAGAGGCCACGTGGAGCCCAGCAGGCGTCTGAGGACCTGACTCGAGACCCCTCCAACCCCCACACCACCCACTCCCCCCAGCTGCCATTTTGGCATCTAAATGACCTGTAAACACTAGGGAGACAACTATGAATGACCATGCCAGCAATGGTGGCCAAGGTGACAGGTGCCACCCCTGGCCAGGGCATGGTGGGGGCAGGCGGTGACACCTATCCGCTGTCTCCCCAGTCTCTGTTGGGAGCACAGGGTGGGGATAGGGCAGCTCCCCCCAGGTTGGGGAGCACAGCTGTGGTTTACTTGGGAGTCCTGCAGACGGCTGGAGCCCTTACTGCCCACCATGGGAACCTGGGCCTTGTCCAGGGACAGTGGCCAAAACTCAAGCCCACCTTAAGGGGAGGGTGGAATGGTGGGGGCGTAGTGCCCCATTCAGTGCTCCAGGGGGAGGGAACCCCAGTCTCCGCTTGTTTTTTGTTTGTTTGTTTGTTTTGCATTTTTCAAACACTGCAGGAGAGGTACGCATGGAGGAGGGATGGGCAGGCAGAGTGCATCAGAAGGGAGCCCTGGAGCGCCATCCATCCAAGCACCCCCTTCTGATTCACCTGGCTGCCCCTGCCCCCACCCCTCACCTGGAGGAGGGTGTCCCCATCTGTCCTCCTTAAGTGGGACAGGGTGCAGAGTGGGATGCACATGCTCAGAGGACAGAGCCATAAGGAAGCCAATGACCTTGGGCCAGGTTGGACACCTGTATTGGCTATTTAAGTGATTGGCTGGTACTAGATCACTGAGAAGATGAGAATCAACTGCAAAGAGTGGGGGTTGGGAGTGGGCATGAGTCCTGCCCAGCCCCACCCAGGCGTTAGGCCTCCTATCAGCACTGTTCCCCTCCCTCTCCACTTTCCCAGACTAGAAAGAGGCATTTCAGGGAGGGCAGGTGTGACATCAATGTTTGGGTAGCAGAAGAAGCTGATGGCACCAGGGGTCCAGGGCATGATGGGCAGGTGGACACTGTGGAGGGGGAAGGGT